GAAGGGGGGGCACACCTCATCAATAAGGGTACCTGCACAAGGAGCATTTGTATACCTAACCCTGAATTGTACCCCACAATTTCAAGATAAAAATTAAAAGAGAAAATAAAATAAAATAGCTAATAAAGAGTAAAAAAAAAAAAAAAAAAAGAGCCGGCCTTGGGTGTTCTTACTGCATCCTAATAGGGTTAACCAGTTTCCAAACACCTCCAATCTTAGGAGAGGGAGACAGACAGTATGGCTTGGTCAGCACAAATTCACTATGTTACTATTAAAAGTAGAAGAATGCAAGTATTTTAACACGTACATAAATGTTCTTGTATTGGTCTTAGCATTATGTATATCAAATGATTTAGGTAAGCCTGGCTATAGAAATAACAACCAAGACCTTTATACATCTGTACCAAGATGCTACCTGCAAAATTACCCTTTTCCTAGAGTTCTGACAGAAGCACCCAGAGTATAGAACGTATCTACTAGGCACCCTAACTCCTAAAGCAAGACTTTCTACTACCCATGTATGACATGTTAATGAAATGATTCACAGGTTCTGAGAGACACCATTTCTAGGTTACTTAAAAGAAAGCAAAAAAAAAAAAAAATTCCTGGGAGGGAGCGAGATGGTGGATAAGGGTCTCTACAGGGCTAGGGGGTTGTGTGTTCCATCTCCCACCTCTCAAGAGAGAGAGCTGGGGTTAGGCTTGCATCTCATCTGAAGCCAAGGGAGGGCAGCTTCCAAAAACATATTCATGTTTTAGCAAGTGCACCCCAGAGTTTGGAAGAAATACAAAAAGTGTTACTGGTCAGGCACACTGGATGACACAGCTCACGCCTGTCATCCCAGCACTTCTGGAGGTGGAGGTGAGAGGACTGCCTGAGCTCAGGGTTGCAAGACCAGCCTGGCCAACTTGACGAGACCTGGTCTCTAATAATAAATCAAAACATTAGCTGGGTGTGGTGGTGCATACCTGTAGTTCCAGTTACTTGGAAGGCTGAGGTGAAAGGATCGCCTGAGCCCAGTAGATCGAAGCGCGGCAATGGCCATGATTGTGCCTCTGCACTCCAGCCCGGGCGACAGAGTGAGACTCAGACGCCAAAAATAAGTGTTACTGATTCCTGCTCAAGGAAGTTTTGAGTGAGTCTGTGAGTGGAGCTCCCCCTGCTGACAACAGAGTAAAAAAACAGGTCTGCTTTGGAAAACGGTTCTACTTCAGATCACTGGGTGGGGGTAAAAATGAGTTTCTTGGGACAAATGCAAACCTGTGGAATGGAAGCCATTTTGAGGGAGATTTTGCCTAAGAGTACACTACAGGGAGTAAAACAACCCCAAAGAGGGGTGGATCTCTGGAAACCTGGGGCTCAGGAAAGGGTCATAAATGTATTATTAAAATTTTCAGCATCTAAATTTCCTCTTTTGCTGGGGGAAAAAAAACAAAACCTAAGGAACCAAAAAAGTTACAGAAATGCAATAAGTAAGAGGAAGAATAACAATTAAAAATCATATATTTATTATTTGTGTATTAGAATTTATAAAATAATGCTTATATACACAACGGGTCCAAAACACAACATAATAAAGAATAATTTTTTTTTGTCATGGGTATTTACCTGAACCCATCCAACTGATTAAATTGCCTTTTTTGAGGTTTTTATATTATAAATGGCTTTTTCTTGATCTGTGAAACTTGTATACCATGACTCATCAAGGTATAAGAAATGGTTGATGTGCTGTTATTCTTTGAAGCCTTCATTCTACCTTTCATTTAGAAATATAGCATCATTTTAGTATTTTTTTCAAATAAAATGCTATATTAAACTAAATTTAATTATAATTTATCATCAAAACTGTTAGACTTGGTAGATTCATTTATGAAATTTTCAAAAAAAAAAGAAATGTTCAATGAAAGTTTACTTTGGCTGTATTTAAAATATGCATAATGAAAAATATGTGAATAAACAACAGGAACAGTTACTGTGCCATCTCCTATATGTATTTTTTTTAGGCAATGTGACTGGCAGGTCAAATGGGTCAATAATATTTTGAAAAATTAATTTTCTAAAGAAGCATGTTAGAATGGAAAGACTTCATACATCATATACTCACCACAGATGACAATGTCCATTCATGGGCGCTCTCTTAATAGCTCTTTCACTTAAAGTTTTTCCTGAAAGATAAAGGGACTTATACTTAGTACCTTTATGTGAGTTGGCAGGTGGATTATTAAATTAACTCAGTGTTTCTCAAAGTACGGTCCCAAGACCAAATGCATCAGCATCACCTGGAAACCATGTGCAAAACCTACTCAATCACAAGCTCTGGGAGTGGGGCCTAGCAATTTGTGTTTGAATGAGCCTTTAAGGATTCTGATGTCTGTTCAAGTCTGACACCCACTGGACTAACTGACTTAGTAACCAAGTGCAAGAAAAGTCATTTAATTATTACCTAAACGTGTAATAGAAACTGCTTTTTTGTAATTAACTAAAATGACACTTACTGAGTGCCATACTGGGTGACCATCTGAGAATATAATGTCAAATAAGACTCATCCTTGACCTCCAAGGGCTCATAATTCTATAGGCTGCAGGTATATAATCAAATAAATTGCAGCCGAGCATGGTGGCTCATGCCTGTGATCCCAGCACTTTGGAAGGCAGAGATGAGTGGATTGTCTGAGCTCAGGGGCGAAACCTTGTCTCCACAGTAAATCATAAAATTAGATGGGTACAGTGGTGCACACCTGTAGTTCCAGCTACCTGGAAGGTTGAGGTGGAAGGATCACCTGAGCTCAGCAGGTCGAGGCTGCAGTAGCTGTGAGCATGTCACTGCACTCCAGGCTGGGTGATGGAGCAAGTCTCTGACTCCAAACTCTCCCCCCACCAAAAAAAAAACCTGCAAACAAAAAATAAGAGCGAGGTGGAAAGAGAGTACCGCAGGGTGGGTAACTGCAGGAGTGAGGAAAGGCTTCCCTGAGAAGCTCTTCCCCAATCACTCACAATAACGAACATGCTCAGTAGCATAAATTATCCCCTCAAAGTATTTTACTTAGTTTAGAATAATTTTTTTTTTGAGTTGGAGTCTCATTCTGTCACCCAGACTGGAATGCACTGGCCGCTCCCAGCCTCCGCAGCCTCGACCTGCTAGGCTCCAGCGATCCTTCCACCTCAGCCTTCCAAGTAGCTGGAACTACAGGTGCGCGCTACCATGCCTGACTAATTTTTTATTTATTGTAGAGATGACGTCTCGCCAAGTTGCCCAGGCGCGTCTCGAACCCACAGGCTCAGGCAATCCACTCACCTCGGCCTCCCAAAGTGCTGGTATTACAGGCTGAGCCACTGAGCCCAGCTAGAATAATTTTTAATAACGTAATAATTAATTTGGATAGAGGTTTGTCTAACAGCTTGAAAAGTAAAAATGCTTGCAACAAAACAGGTCTGCATTCTGAGAATCTTTCTCAAAACGGGCCATTGTTCTATACCTTCTTTTTTCCATGATCCATTATTATTCTTTCTTTTGAGTTAGAGTCTCACTCTGTCGCCCAGTAGCCGGAATTACAGGCATGTGCTACCACGCCCGGCTGATTTTTGATCCATTATTATTCTATTATTTTTGCCTTGGAGAGACTATCCAACGATATTCAAAATGCCTTTCTAGTGAGTGGTTCAGATCATCTTTATAGATAACGGTCTTTTATTCAACAACCATTCTCTTATTTGTTCCTTTGTTAAGGTGGCTCTAGTCATTAAATCCACATACATGAAAAAGAATGAAAAAGTGAAGTATTCTAATAACTAGTATTACACTGTGGACAAATATTAAGGAACTCAGCAATTTCAAATAAATGATGAAAAACATACTCTTCCACTGAAAAGCATTAAAAAGTCAAAAATCTTTTTAGCTGCACTGCCAAATGAATAAAATTGCCCATGTATCACTGGAGGTGAGCCCATTCCTCTGAGAATATAACAAAGTTGGGTAGCAAACAAATGGTCTCGCAATCTCATTTACGCAGCTGAGCACAAAAGAAAAACTATTTCCCTTTGAAAACTGTATTTTGTGATCTTTTTGAGGCATTCACATTAATCAGTTAATTATGAAAATTGTAATAGTCTCTTCAAAAATTACATTCATATTTTATTTGGAATCCAAGTTATGATCAAGCACAGTACTTCAAAAAATGTACTGCATTGTGGTATGCTCACCCTGAGTTTGATGAAAGAATTCTGCACTCTCCAGGGACCAACTCTTTCCTTCTCATGACAGTTTCAGACATGCTGTTACAAGAAGAATCCTTCTGTGCTTCAGCCCCCCTCCTGCTGAATGCTGAATGCCAGTGTTTTTCCTGCTGGTCTGAACCCTTGCCTTGCTCAGCACCAGTGTGCTAGGTCACCACCTTGACTGAGTACTCCTGACACACCTGGCTGTCTTTGTATTGATCTCTTCCATAGAGTCCTTAGTGTAGCACTGCCTTCAGCAAATTTCTGTCTCTCCTTCTCTCTCTCCTCTCCCTCCCCCCACCCCTCATGTTATCATTGTTCCTGGTCACAATAATTTTGAATAAGTATTTCTTAATTGGATAAATCAAAGAAATTCCTTTTCACTGATTTCAATATGTGAATGAACACTTCAGAGGCTTCACTCCTTTTTCTTTGCACTATAAGCTTTTCTCTTTTTAAAAATATATATATCCTATTTCAATTCAGTGTTCCATTCTTGCTCCTGAATTTCCTCCAACTCATTTCTTTTCTCATACATTAACTCAATTAAACTCGTATTTCCATTTAAAAGTAGAGATGCAAAGTGACTTTCTCTATGAAACTCTTACTTCCATAAGAAAGATTCTCCTATCTCAACCTCCATCCTCTCCCATCACATCTTCCTTGCTGTTAGACACTCTTAACACCCTGTACTCTTTTTTTTTTTCTTTTTTCTGTTTTGGTCTGCAGTCTCACTCTACCTCTTAGGCAGGAGTGCAGTAGCATGATCACAGCCACCACAGCCTAGACCTGCTGGGCTTAGGCAATCCTTCTGCCTCAGTCTTTCAAGTAGCTGGAACTACAGGTGCATGTCACCACATCTGGCTAGCTTTTTGATTTATTGTAGAGACGAGGTCTTGCCAAGTTGCCCAGGCTGCTCTCGAACTCGAGCTAGGCAATCCTCTTGTCTCAGCCTCCCAAAGTGCTGCGATTGCAGGCGTGAGCCACTGCGCCTGGCCTCTTCTTTAATAACAGTTTATTTCAGTTTGTTTCTGGACGTGATTATTTGAAAACACGGCCTTCCCTCACCAAAGCCATTAGATCCCCTGCAGTCTGAGACATGTCTATGTTACTATCCTATTTCTACCTGCTAACATAATGCCCAGGGTAGGGCAGAGCTCATGAAAGACATGCACTTAATATTGATGAATGCTGGAAAGTTGACACAGACTTCTTTTTATTTTTTTCAGAAGATATGAAAATAAATTACTATGCTCTCTTTGGTTACATTTTTATTTACCTTGAAATTAATATATCTCTTCCCTAGAATTCTATTTTGTATAAAGTCTGCAAGTTGGAATGCTACAGAAAAACTGGTCCACAAAGCTGGTGATAAATATGGAAGAAACAAGAGGGGGGAGGCCCCCTCAGTCTTTTCCCACTGAGGGAGGTCATTTAGCAAAGAGATCTCCAAGTAGAAGACATACAACGATTTCAAGGAGTCTGGTAAGACACCCTTCTTGGAAATAACAATGACTAGACTAGGAGGAAATCTTCCCTGCTGTTTGTTCCTCATGCTATTTTAGAGAAGAAAAGCCTGGAAAAGAGAAGACTTTGGAATCAAAGAAGAACTGAAAGGGTTTCGGTATCGAATTACAACACAGGAATTCAGAGAGATGGCAATGAGGGTCTTGTTTGCAAGAAAGCATTTTGACATCCACCGAGATACAGACAACAATTTAACATTCTGGCTATTTTGTTATTGTTGTTATGGAAAAATATACAAGAAAGTATAGATGACCGTATGAAGAATCATCATACACCTATCATTCAGCTTAGACAATTAACAAAAAAGGTTAATTGTGTTTCCTCAAGATAGGTTTTGAAAAATAAAAGTTTGAGAGCTTATTTTTGGTGGTTCCTGGAGTTCTACATTACAGAAAGTAAGCTGTGTTATTTAATTGTAGTCTACTGCTGGAGATAACTGTCCTCTGTCTATTATTGTTTTTCAAACACTGCCACTAAATTTCTTATCTTTCTATGATTTTACAAACTTAAAGATTAAATCTGGGTTCTTTCAGTTGCCTGTTCTAATATGCTCAATTTTTTTTTTTTTTTTGAGTTGGAGTCTCACTCTGTCTCCTAGGCTGGAGTGCAGTGGCTCGCTCATGGCCACCCCAGCCGGGCGCTCAGGCGAACCCTCCACCTCAGCCTTCCAAGGAGTTGGAACTACAGGCGTGCGCTGCCATGTCCAGCTAATTTTTTTTTGTGTAATTTTACTGTAGTGATGAGGTTTCGCCAAGTGGTCCAGGCTGTTCTCGAACCTGTGGGCTCAGGCAATCCTCTCACCTCGGCCTCCCAAAGTGCTGGGATTATATAGGCTTGAGCCACCATGCCCAGCCTCAAATATTTTTAAATGAATAGATACTTTAGTCTAAAAACACTTTTCCCCCATCCAAGTACTAACCAGGCCCAACCCTGCTTAGCTTCTGAGATCAGGTATGTTCAGGGTGGTATGGCCATAGACTAAAGACACTTTTCTATTCTGAGACAGTGTTAATTTTTTGGTATTGGGATATATTGAAATAGAGTGCACATACTGGTTTTAGCTAAGATAATTTAGTTTTCATTGAAATTCACTAGTGATTTACAGTAGATCATAATTGCCACTTGAGAATACTCAATCTTTACAAAACACTTACCAATGTTAGCATAATGTTTCTTTTCTGGAGTATTTGTAGATAGCTCACACATGTCCCCATAAGCCCGAGCCAACCGCCACATAAACTCTATTTCATCTTTAAACTGAAAAGACAGAATTGCACATTAGAATAACTCAGTAACTTGTCTAGACTATGCTTGTTTTCTCCTGTAACATTTGAAAACGAAGGCAGGTAAACCGGTATTTACTGATGATTGAATCTATCTATGCTTATGCATAATTAAATATGAAACATTTAAAATCCATGTATTCATGGCTAAGGAATGTGATCTAATACAGTGCTATCTATGGATCTTTAAACTAATTAATACTATCCAGACAGTAGCTCCACCTATACAGGAAAGAACTGACAGGTGTCAGAATCTATAAATTTTTCTGGGACAGTGACATCCTCTCTTCTCCTTTCCAAGTTTTCACTACCAATGTAATAGCTCAGTGAGCATTTTGGGTACTGCCTACAAATTGGATTGCATAGACTTAAAAAAGCAGTCACATCTTTTACCCAAATTACCTAAATATAAAAAAATTCTAGAGATTTTATACATTTAAGACAAATGTGTTTAGAGTTGCTAAATTCTCAAAACTGAAACTACATGGAGCGTTAGCTGACACATGTCTCTTACCTTTTCTTTGTGGTCACAAAGCAGTTCAAAGCTCTCCAACTTGCCAGACTCACTCACACGTAAATGATCTGCCTTCTGAAGAAGGACATCTAAATTTAATTCATCTACATATGTGTTAAATGCCTTAGGGACTGGAAAACTCTGTTCTTCTGTGTCAGTATTAGCTGTAATATACCTAGAATTGCAGAAATAATCATCAACTCCCTTGAAAATTATGCGTAATAGCTGGAGTGACCCTTTATAAACGCAAGTCAAACCACACCCCCTTACGCTTGAAACTGCAACAGTGACCCCCTTTCACTCACAAAAAGTTCAAGCTCTAACAACGGTCTACAAGACCCTGTGGCATCGCTCTTCAACCCCACCACCCTCTGACTTCATTTCCTACCTCTCTTATTCAACTCCACGTTGGCCGCCTGCCTGATTTTTACACATGCCAAGCGCCCTCCTCAGGACATTTACTTGCTGTCCCCTCTGATGGAATGAAAGCTCTTCCCTTAGACAGACACATCATTCACACCCTCACCTCCCTCGAGTCTCCACTCCAGTGCCATTCTCTCAGTGTGGCCCATGTAGAGCCTCTACTTAATACTGCAACCCCCACACTCTCTTCACCTCCAATTCCCTCATCATGCTTGACTTTTATTTCCCCACGGCATGTACTGTCCTGTTCCTGCTTTAAGACTTTCATATATTCTCTTCCTTCTGCCTGGCATGTTCATCCCTGAATATCCAGATCGTTTACTTTCTTGCCTGCTTCACGTCCTTATTCCGTTGTAACCTTCTTATTACTACGGATGATATTATTTATGCTCAAAACAGAAAAGAATCTACGAGTTATGATTAATAGGAGAACCCGGCACATTGGATGGGTGTATATTAACATATGACAGACAGTTTTATTTCTATATATCAGTAGCAAAAAAAAGCAAAATTAAACAAAATATTCAATTTACAATATCTCAGAGACTATCAACCACCTAGGAATAAATCTAATAAAAGATATGTGAACATTTTATGGAGAGAATTATAAAAGCATATTAAAAGAGGTTTATAAAATGACCTAAATTCATGAAGAAATATATCATGCTCATAAGATATTTTGAAGAAGACCAAGGATTGTAAGTATGTGAATTCTCCCAGATTAATCTAGGTTCAACGCAATTCAAATTTTATGAAGCTTAGGAGCAATTTTCATAGGTCTCAATAAGATGATTGCAAAAGTTATATGAAAGTAAGTGAAGAGCCTAAAACAGCCAAAGCATGTTTAAAGAAAGAGAGCAAGGAGAGAGGATTTGTTGCACCAGATATTAGAACACACTATGAGGCAACCGCAATTAAAGACAGTGTGGTGTCAGGGGACAGACGAGTGAATAACAGAGCAGAACAGAGCTCAGACACAGACACTTACGTATATGGAAATGAGGTACATGGACGAGTTGGCATGTCAGGTCAGTGGGAAATTAAAGGGTTGTGAAGGGGAAAATGTTTATCTCTATGGAAAAAGATGACATTGACTCTACCTTGTAATTTTTTAAAAACATAAGGTGATATAAAAATTCTTACATATTTTCAAACTCTAGTAGAAAATGTAGGTGAATATCTTTTAGTCCTTGGGGATACGATATTTTATTAACCAAGATACAATCATAACTATAAAGTAAATGATTAATCAACTAACTATATTAAAATGAAAAACTACTGTTAATAAAAAGACATATTTAAAAATGCAAAAACAGAAATTAAAAATCAGGAGTAGCTATTTTGCAATACATACAACTAAACAAGATTAATATCAGAATACGTAAATATTTCCTTAAAATTCAATGAGAAAAACACGGGAAACTCGATAGAAATATGCACAAAAGATAAAAATAGGTTTTCCAAAACATGAAAATACACAGCCAACAAACATAAAAGATATTCATCATTCACTAGTGATCAGAGAAATACAAATAAGGACCACAAAGATTTTTTTTTAACATCTGTTTCTTTTGAAAAATTTAAAAAGTCTGACAATACCAAATGGTGAAGAGGATGCCAACCCACAGGATCTGATGTGAATGTAAATTGGTCAAACCAGTTGGAAAAGAACTTTGGCATTAACTTCTAGGGTTAAACTTCCACATACCTTAGGACTGAGCCTAAGTCTAAGTTTGTCTCTTGCACATGCACAAAAAGAGATATGTATACAAATACATAAGGCAGTACTTTCACAATAGTAAACACCAGGAAACAACTCAAATGCCCATCAAGAGTGAATGAACATTACACAAGAATCAAAATGAATGAGTTACATACAAGATAAGGAAGAATGTTAATAATAAACTCCTAAAATTATATGAGCATGATCCCCTTTCTATAAAACAACCAAAATTAAATGTTATTTTAAAGGAATATTCCCTATTCACTGAATTATATAAGAAGGAAAGCAAGAAATGAACGATTCTGATTATAGATTCAGGATGACAGTTGCCCTCGGGTGGAAGGAAGCAAGGGAGCCAGATGGTTTGATGTGGATTATGGTCTAGGTCTTATCTTTTGTTTTAAGAAGTGCTTTTATAAATACTTATTACATTATTTATAATAACTAAATAAATGAGTATAAGTAGAACATGTGGAAACTGATAATCAGGGTTTGTCATGAGCAAAAGATAGCTTTAATCCAATTCTATGTGTCTGAAATATAATAAGAAAGTGATAACCAAAAGAAAGCAACTAGATTAATATCAAAAATAATATTTTTAAGGCAAAATAACAAACTACCATGAACAACTTTATGCAAATTTATTTGGAAATAAATGATATAAACAACTGCCTAGAAATATGTAAAAATTCCTTAAAAAGAAACCCATCAATTAGGCAAGAAAATGAAATCAAAGGTACCAAAATTGGAAAGAAAGAAGTAAAATTATTTCTTATATATAGAAAATCCTAAGGAGTCTACAAAAAAACATTAGAATCAATAAATAAGTTAAGCAAGCCTGCCGAATAAAGATCAGTACAAAAGTCTATTGTATTTCTGTATACCAGCAATGAACAACAACAAAAAAAATTAAAAAACAATTTCAGTTGCAATATCATTAAAAACACTGAAATTTGGCTGGGCTTGGTGGCTCAGCCTGTAATCCCAGCACTTTGGGAGGCCAAAGCGAGTGGATTGCTTGAGTCCGCAGGTTTGAGACCCACTGAGGCAACTTGGAGAGACCTGTCTCTACAGTAAATCAAAAATTAGCCAGGCGTGGTAGCATGCGTATGTAGTTCTGGCTACTTGGAAAGCTGAGGCAGAAGGATCGACGAAGCCCAGCAGGTTGAGGCTGCAGTGGCCAGGACTGCAGTGTACTTCAGTCTGGGCGACAAAGTGAGACTCCAACTCAAAACAAAATAAAACAAAAAAAAACACTGAAATTAAATAAAAATTAAAAAGACTAAAATTCTTACAAATACATCTAATAAAAGAAGTACAAGACTAAACTGAAAACTAAAACATTGTTGGAATTAAGAAAGCTCTAAATAAATGAAAATAAATCTCATGTTCATGCATTGGAGGACTTAGTATTGATAAGATGGTGATATTGTCAAATGTATCTACAGATTCAAAGCATTTCTATTAAAATCCCAGCTGGGATTTTTTCCCAGAAATTGGCAAGCTGATCCTAAAATTCATGTGAAAATGCAAGAGACCCAGTAGCCAAAATTATCTTGTAAAAGAAGAATAAAGTTGGAGGACTCAGACTTTCTACAAAGCTACAGTAAGCAAGACAGTGTTGAACTGGAATAAGGATAGACATATGAAACAGACATTAAGGATCTACTAGAAATTAAGTGCCCAAAAATAAACATTTACATTTATTATCAGTTTATTATGACAAGAGTGACAAGACGATTCAATGGAAGAAACAATACTCTTTAACAAATAATGCTGGGACAAAAGGACATTCACATGCAAAAAAATGAAGCTGAACTCTTCTTACCTCACAATTATTTGAGTTAATAAAAATTAACTCAAAATGTATCAAAAACCTAAAAGGTAAAAGTTAAAACTATGTTTTATATCGTTCTATATGCATACATTTTCTTTCTTATATGATAACATAGGAGGAAATATTTGTAAGTATTTGTGACCTTGGATTAGGCAATGGTTTCTTAGATATGACACATCAGAAGCACAAGTGACAAAAGAAAAAAGATATAAATTGAACTTTATCAAAATGAAAAACTTTGGTGCTTCAAAACATATAATTAAGAAAGTGAAAATATAATATACAGCATGAGACAAAATATTTATTTATCAATCATATATCTGACAAGAGACTTATATACAGAAGATTTGAAGAACTCTTACAATTCAACAATAAAAAGACAACCCAATTTTGAAATGGGCAATTCTAAAAATAAATAAAAATCACCAAATTGTGCAATTTAAAAGAATGCCCTTTATAGTATATAAATAATATCTCAATAAAGCTATTATTCGATAAGAGCAAAAACTCAAATGTTCCTAGAGTCATTAAATAAATTAAATCAGAATTATATATCTGCTCCAACTTGTTTCTCTCTGGCACACTCTTTTTCTCATGCACACACAGAGATAGCTTTACAGTGAACTCTACCAAGTATCCAAAGAATTAGATTTACTCAAATTCTTCTAGGGAATTATTAAAAAGGGAATATCCCTTTTTAACAATTTTATACAATTTTATAACTGATACAAAAACCAAATATGGATATCACAAGAAAGAAAAATTATGAATCAGCCTCACACATAAACATAGATGCGAAGAGCCTCAATAAAATATCAACCAAGGAAACTGTAACAAACATGAAAGAATATATCATAACCAAATTGCATTTATGCCAAGAATTACAAGCATAGTTTAACAAAAAGGTCAATTTCTCTAGCACACCAGATAAAACAAGAACTTTAAGATAATTTCATTGTTTACTGAAAAAAATTATTTTTCAATAAATTCTAACACCGCTTCAGGACAAAAGAAATACCAAACTCTTATACAAGAAATACAAAGGACTTTCAAACCTAATAGAGGTTATATGCTAAAAACTATAATGCATTTCACAAAAGTCAGGAATAGAAAAAGATGTCCAACATTGCTACTTCTCTCCAACACGTCCTGGAGGGCCTGTTGGCACAATATTAAAAGAAACACAAATAAA